GGATAATATTATATTTATCATGTATAAGACTCATATTATTTTGGACGATGATTAATATTTTATTTTGGCATATGAACGGATCTTCTGAAGTCCTCAAAAAACTTTCTGTGACCAAGGGTGGAGGTATACTGATGCAATCGGAAGGAGTGCCATATGAGAATCTCATCTGAATCATTCGTTCAGTTATAGTATAATGTCCCCTCTAAAATGCATCTCATTCCACGTTTGAATTTTATGACTATTTTAGATTTATATTTGTTTGTTTTTAATTTTTGTTTTATTATTTTTGATACGACATTCAATCTTCATGTGCATTGTTTTCAATTTGAATACTTTATAGTGTAGGTATTAGGTACTTACATATTAATAGAAGGTTTAATATTATTTTTATTGTTGAAACGTTAAAAACAAAACGTTTTCATTTATCTAAAAATCAGCTTAAATTTATACTATACTCAAGTATACAAAATATTTCTTTCATATATTTACATGTTTATCGAGTTTTAGTGTTATAGGAAGTATATATTAAATATACAAAAGATAAAGTCTGTGTTCCTATAATATAAAAGAAAAAAAAATTGAATTGGATACTTATATATTTTTTTTACAATATACACATAATAATGTATAACTTTATTTAAATTTATAAATATTTTTCCTATACCATTGAGTATTAATAACAACTAATAAGCGATTGTTATTTTTGAATGCATAACAGTACATGTAAATTATATTATTATAAACAAATATTTTAAAAATGACCTACATGATATAATTCATAACAAAAATAAATCATATGTAGTTCATTGATTGATAAATTGATGAAAATTGCAAGGGCATTGCTAATTATCGAATGAAATTTACGAATGATTAACAATGATTTAATATCAATAAATTATCTTTAATTAAATTAACTTAACATTCTGTAGACAATTAACTAATGTTATGTACTTACGTATACAAATAATTTTAAAATAAATATCACCAAGAAATTTTTGTTGTTACCAGTTTAACTGTAAATAAAAAAAAACTTTGATTATTTTGGTTTGTTTCGTTAATCGGTATAATATATTATTTATAACGTATTTAAATTAGGTACTTTTAAATATCAAATAAATAAAATCATGTTAAATCTCATTAAACTTTTAAACAATTTATTTATAAATACAATGCATATGTTATCTTACTTATATTTATGTAATATTATAGACTTAAATACTTTATGACTTATGTATACAATAGTACATAATGTTCGAGATCTGAAATGAACATTTTACCTGGCCGTACAGTGTCTGCATTGCAGACAAATTACTTTGGTCTGTTGTGAATTTTAAACAATATGCCATACAAAGTGACAGTTTACCGGCCATTTCATATAGTAAGGCTTAACTGCATATTTTTAATAATACAGACATACACAGATACATATTATATTCTATTAAAATGTAGGAATATAATATAGGCTATATATTTAAAAAAAAATATTATAGCTGATAGAACATTGTCTTTTCACATAGTATGAATTGTTAAAAAATAATAAAATAGTTTTAAAATACATACCTAATACAATATTACAATCAATTATGTTTAATCGGAATATTTAATACTTTTTTTACAAATAATAGAAATTAATATTTATGAACAATTAATAGGTACCTACTTAGTTTAAAATCTATTATTGCAATAAAAATTATTTTTTAACGCAGTTAGTGTCAGTTACAGCTATAAGCTATAACAGTATTTTTCAGTTTTATATAGCAGGTCGTTAAACTTGCTGTATAATCCATCATTAATTTAAAAAATCGGTTATTACTGGTCATGCGGTAATACTTTTAATGACATTAAATGAAACTAAAGATGAACGTTTGGTATTGGGCAGTAGACACAGACAATTTTAACACTAAAATATCTATAATTTAAAACAATAAATATAAAAATATATATTTTCAGAAATTATTATATCAACTTGGTAACACATTTGAGGTACGGAAATATGGCAATAGTAGATGTGTATTGATAGATAAACACATACACTATAGTCTATATTATGAAAAATAATTGAAATAACAACATATTACAATATTAATCCAGATAATATAATTTAAAAAAAATTACAGTGTGTATAATTTACATAAAATTAATTAATTTTTTATACCCCCTTAGTGTTAATAAATTAATGAAAGAAATAATCAAATTGTTATAAAATGTAATTTATAAAGGTAATGACCGCCGTCAGCGTTGAAGTTAAATAACAATAATAATAAAAAAATTCATAGATACATCCGTATTTTGAATGCCAAGAAACTTAATTGTATGAATTCAATTTTTTTAAATCACAATTTGCTATGATAGTATAAGACGACTGGATGAACTTAAACTGTGTCGGATACAGTAATCTTCAGAAATTAAATCATACTATACTAAAGCAAAATATGCCGTTGTTGCATCAAATAATAATTGCATAATATAGTACGATAGCTGATTAAATTAACAATAGAAATAAAATTATTATTTTAAAAATAATAAATAGGATAATTAGTTATATAAGTACCATTACTCATAGTGAATGTTAATTTAGAAATTACATTCAAATGACGTCGATATTATGTTATGATGGTCAAAATACTGTCATTGTATCATTTTTAATTAAATTTTTCCGATTTATATTTATATACTATAATTATAATGGTACGTACAAGTAAACAGTAAAATGTATATAAGATAGTATTTGTTTCGTTCCACTGATCTTTGAGGTTTTAAATTTGGACGATCATGACCTGCTACAGACTACTGCATTTACAATTTAAAATGTTTAAAGCATTAAACAAATGATTGGCATAATACTATTTACTATTTATTATCATTAAACATTATGTTTTGGTATGTTTTTTTTGCATAAAAAATATGAATTATTTGATAACTGAAACTATTGTTATTCTTGACTGTGATATACGCAGGATATTTTCCTCCACATAAATTATTGTAGAACATATTAAATTTATGCGGTGAATATTTTAATTTGTACCTATATGTAGGTATATCAGACGATATAATTGTCACAGAGTGAAATATTTTTGTCATCCAGCAGGTAGTTTAGTGAAGTATTTTAATAACTGGGTGATATATATTTTTTTATATTTTATATTAGCATGTCTAAAATCCACTAAATCCTACCGCAGGTATTATAGGATGATATGAAGTAAAACGAGTTTCTCAAAATAATTAGGAACAGAAATATTTGACAACTATTATTTATGTAAAATGTCTTCTTAAGGAATCGTTTTTCATTGAATACATTCTAATATTGATTTATCATTAAATTCAAAATTATTAGCATATTCAATATTGCAGTGACGTATTTAATGAAGAAGTACCCTTGACACCTACAACAGAAGAGCGAGCTCTCCATTTTTTCTTTATATTGGGTGATATTCTCGATACGGCTATTAAGAATATTAGTCAATATTACTATGCGCAGATTTATACGATGCACAAAAAATCACGAAATATGTTCTAAAAAAATGCATCTATGCACCAAAAATTAATAAATATGGAGTGAAATATGACCTTTAAAATCATGTTTTAAAAAAATCCTATTTTGATTTTAAATAATTATAAAAAAAGTTACAGTAATGTTTATTTATTAATTTTATATCTAATTCTGATTTTTGAAAAATAATATGAAAATTATAGTAAATTACAGTATAATAAGTACTTACTTAAAAGTTAAAGTAATAGTTTGGTAGGAATTGTTCCTTTTAGCTGCTACTTATTTGTCAGTCTTTAATAAAATGTTTATTTTTAATAACAATAATAATTTTACCCCCAATATTTATGTTGTTCAAATATTTTTTAATATTGAAACAATTATAATAATTGAAATGTAGAAAAATAGTTTTTTTGTTACACACATCAAGTGAGATTGAGATTTTCATTTTTACATAAAAAAATTAAGAATTAATAATTAGAATCATTATTTACACTTATGCAAATGATGGAATTACTTATTTATTGCAACAGTAGTTACTGTAGTAGTTAGTGGTACTCCAAAAAAGTAATTTTGATGAATAATACAAATATGGAAAATTTAGTTTGAAATTGTTTTAATACTGAACGAGAAACGACCAACAAACCTACAACTTTAATAGTCTCCTATTTTCTAAAGCGTATATAAACATTTATTTTAATGAATTCCTGATATTTTCACGTTACTTTTATCACAACTTATGAGTTATGTTGAACTTTTGAAATTTTAAAAACTGTTTTGCTTAGAAAAACATAGGTTCTTAATATGATTTTATACGTTTTTGTTTCACGCAAAACCAAATTTAAATTCATAATCAAAACATGTATTTATAAATTTGAATTATATAAATGTAATTTATATTATAATGAATTAATTTACATATTTATTCATGATATAAGAAACAAGTCTGGAATTATGATGATGAACCGCTCTTAAATTATGGATGGTTAAAAATGGTTTATCATTATTTATAAGTTGACTACCGTGTTTCGTATAGGTACTAACAGAGAATACCTACCTTGAAATACCACCAATAAAGTAGAGGTACCTACTAGTTGCATCATGCTATCATAGACATCTGATTGACTGTGAAAGTAGTTCTTAATTTTTCGCAACAACATAAACATCAAATACATTATACATATTATCTATAAACATAAAAATATGGGCTCACTTATCATGCATTTTTGAATCAACTTGAATAATTAACATAATGTAGTTCTTGTAGAGACATAGAATATATAATTACACATGTTATATGCATATTTTTATTTAGATAATAACTATGTGTGTCAAATAAACATCAATCTTGGGAATCACGCTATTCTCGGAATGAGAACGAAATTATGATCACGTCCATCAATTAAATGATTACTATAAAAATATAAATTAATAAAAATATTGCGTCACATTGTTTTTGAGTGGGGAAAATTGGCTTATGAAAACGGGTTTAATGCTTGAATGTTTATATATATTAGCTTTAACATATTATTACAAAGCATTACCTATTCGTCGTTTGAATAGATAGGTTTCAGACTTCGTGTTTAAAAGTTTATCCTATAGTACTTTTATACTTATACGCGATGAACGGACACGCCGCAGTGATAGAAAATACCTTAGGGGTAAGTTATCGAATTGAACAATATTATACTTTGATACAGATAGATACAACTATTATTTCACATTTCAAATTCAATTTTTTTTATAATATTTATTGTCTTTTAAAAACATTAACATTTAACAGCTATTACATTTTATTTGCTATTGCTGTTTCTTGGTTTGTTAATTGTTTAGAGTGAAATTATTTACTCTACGTTAGTAGTTTTATGATAATTCTATTAAAACTAATGTACAATTATAATCTGATTTTTTTTTTTTTGTGTATGGTTTATTCCTTTTGGCTCATACTACCTTATAGCTTGTACTTCATACTAAAAATAATACTTTTTTTGATACTTACTGTTTACTTACTTTTTATGTTGTAAGAACTGTATAATATGTAATGTAATTTAAAATCTTAAATATTTTATAACGTTTTTGGTAATAATGAATTTAAATAATATGTTACAATTCAGGACTAATTATTGATTTTGGCTCAAAATGCAGATGTTAATTATTTAAGTTAACCTTTATATTGTTTTTTTTTTAAATTTTTATATACAAAAAATTACCAATAAATTAGTTCTGTAATATTACTTTGAACATTTGAGAAATTGGTTTCGTATGATGCATTGATACATACAAACATAAAATTTGATCTTGTTGCAAGAATGCGGAAAAAAAATAGGTCTGTTACTATAATACGACGTTAATTGTCCATATATGTCATATATGTTATATACACATAACACATACTATAATATCCATATGTTTGAACATCAATGATGGTAGAATTTCGAAACGATGACGACATAAAAAAATTACTATTAATAAATTACCTATATTTTCTTATTACATACTGAGTAGTGATTATTGTATTATTTTGTTTGAATAAGTTATAAGTAGCTACTTAACAATAAATTAAAAATTATTTAACATTATTGTTGTTTCCAAAATATATTGTGTATTATGATTTATGAGTATACGGGACATAAAGACCTTTATTAAACGGATTTAATTTTTAAGATGTAACTTATTAACATATATAATTATACAATTATATAACATGTGTGAAACGAGTATACGCCGTACGGGTATACATGGAAAAGTGTTGTAATAATTAAAAATAATTCATTTCTAGTTATACTCTGTCATAGAAATAAATAACTAAAAAAAAACGTTTAATATTATTATAGGCACCTAAGATACGCAAAGGATCATACATAGCTCCTCTTGATGAAGAATCTATCACCCTGATATTTTCACCGGGAAATGATAAAGTTGGAACACTGGCCAAGGCGTTAAAACTCTTTAAGGTAAATGCATTTAGATACAGCTTATATGAACTATTTCAAATTGCATTAACTTACTAGTTCGATTAATGTTTGACTACTAACAAACAATAACACTATTAATGGATCGAAAGTGTATACCACTTAGCACTTGTTTGTTCGAGTTATATTTTATAGTAAGTCTTGACGTAGGCAAGGTCTTAAAAATTATTGTCGAATATTGAAGCATAAATGACAATGATCAAACAAGAAGTGTAAAATGTGTGATTTCTTATTTAATGTATTTCAAGATTTGTACATTTTTAATACGTGGAAATAACTAACCTACAATCTACATATTATATTAGATTGTAGTTACTTAATAATAATAATAATAATAATAATAACAACAAAAAGACTGACAGTGATTTCGAATTTTATGTGCCTTACAGGAATACAACGTAAACTTGTTGCACATCGAATCCCGGTCGTCGGACAGGATACCGGACCAGTATGAGTTTTTCGTTGAATGTGCGCCCGGGGGTAACGTCCCAAAGGTGGTGGAAATATTGAAGGGCACAATGACATACTGTTCGGTAGTATCCAGAAACAACCTCAAAGACAGCAAAGTGGAAGCCAGTAAGTGTTTCTGGGATGGCTGTGGGAAGGGGTGGTTGGAGGGATATGGGCCCCACTTGAAATGTGAATTTTGCATTATTTTAATCTCGGCGTTTGTTTTGTAGATTACGTACCATGGTTCCCGTTAAGAATCAGGGACCTGGACAAGTACGCCAATCAGATTCTATCGCACGGAGCTGAGCTGAACGCCGACCATCCCGGGTTCACAGATCCAGTGTACAGATTGAGGAGGAAGTATTTGGCTGACACTGCGTTGAATTATAGACAGTATGTAGTCGACAGCGTAATATTTATATAGTTTACTAACAGCAACAAATTACTTAAATTACTAAAATTACGGAATTATTAAAACGAATTAAAGTATCATTCAAGGATATTTCACATCATATATTAATACATACAAGTAAATTACCGTACTTTAAAAAATGAAACTTTTCATTTACAGCGGAGATCCATTACCATATATTGAGTACACCGAAGAAGAAGTGAAGACTTGGGGTACCGTGTTCAGGGAACTAACTAAATTGTATCCGACGCATGCGTGCAATGAATATAATCACGTGTTTCCCCTGTTAGTTGAAAACTGTGGTTATAGGGAGGACTGCATACCGCAGTTCGAGGACATTTCCAATTTTCTTAAGGGTAATAATAATAATAATAAAATAGAATAAAACTTAAAATTATTTTATAATAGCGCAGTCTGTAGAATGTACTAATGTAGATTATCATCACGAAACATCATAATACGCAATGTCTATTGTTTTTTCGTAAAAAAAAATTTAATGAAAACTTAAATGAATTCTTTTATTTTTTTAATTGTCGTAAGCTTTATAATTTATTGCAGACAGTACCGGATTCACTTTAAGACCAGTTGGAGGGCTTCTTTCGTCCAGGGACTTCTTAGCCGGACTAGCTTTCAGAGTATTCCATTCCACACAGTACATCAGACACCACAGTCGACCACTGTACACGCCTGAACCGGACATTTGCCATGAACTATTGGGGCACGTACCGTTGTTCGCTAACCCAGCTTTTGCACAATTCTCTCAAGAAATTGGACTAGCGTCGCTTGGCGCCCCCGATGATTACGTTAAAAAATTGGCCACGGTAAATGCAAATACACATTGTCTGTGCATATAATATATATATACATTGTACACCTCATGCACTTGACCGTAAAAACTATGTTTCGTTGCGCTGAAATTCTTACGTAGATTTATTTAATAACTGCAGTCACGCATTAATTTTTTTTATGAATTGGAATACCGTCAAAATTTGTTAATTTTAATTCTATGATATAAATCCGACATCGCCTACGATCCAATTCGGATTTCATTCATTTTATTAATAAGACTCAGGTATATTAAAGCGATTAAGACCTAAACATATTTGAAAACGGCATTTATCATATTATACAATCACGTATGTCGCACCTACATAAAACAACCAAAAATATTTCTTCATGGTCACAATTACTCGAGCAAAAAAAGAATTCAAAACGCACTTACACACGCGTCAAATTATTATATACCTATATACCTTAACAAACAATTATTTATTATTAAAATGTTAGCAATCTCACTCGAATAAAATCTGTTATTGTAAATTATTTCATTATAATAGGGTGAAAAAATAATAAAAATTATTATTTCCCATCGAATCCGCATGACATGTTTAAACTCTTAGCCAACTGTGCATTACCTACCTACTGTGTGTGTATACTGTATGTACATATATAACTTTATTATTGTGACCGAATCATAATAATAGGATTATAATGTATAATATAATGTACGTGGATAACAATAATATATAAATATATATATATATATATATTATATTATATACATTAAGTGCGTAACGATCAAACCGTACACAATATATGTATAGTTTTTACGTGTGATATATATATTATAAGAATTCGATATCGTAATATTGTAATGGTGGCGTATCGACTGCGATATTAATTTTCTTTTATGACGTACAAAAATATTCGTGCGCGCGTTACACGGTCGTTCATGCGTTGTTGTACGCACTATCACAAACAAACATACATACACATTATACAGGGTTTATAATTTAATAATGAATTTATTTAAATTATGATTTTTGGAGCTTCTAAATATGTTTAAGGTCCATATTTTCAAATACTTATTTTGTCCAGTGACGATACCAAATTTTTGTTTTCAATCACTTTCTTTCCTGTAAGGTATAAGAAACTCAATCAGGTGACTTTTTTGAAATGTTTGATGCATTTAAATAGAAATTAGAACGATTAGCTTTTTAGTTTTTTAACTTTTATTAGGTTCATTGTCCATAATAACTGGGTTGGAAAACACAGGGGCTATGATGATTTTTAAGATCAGAGTATATTATCAATAATAATCTATGAATATTTTTTGATCTGTAAAAATTGTCAGAGCGGAATAAATTCTAGATTTAAAAGTTAAAACTGAATCTATTTTATATTTTTACAAAACTATTTAAGGACATAAATTATCTTTAGTATATATAATACTTTATAAAAGAACTCAACATTTTAATTTAAATTTAGATTCATCAATTAATTTAAACAATCACGTGCTTAAAAATGTGCAGTGAATTATGTTGGTTCTCATATGAAAAAAAAAAATTTGTACCGCTGTAACCTGTAAAATATTCCTTTTAATATGGTATACAAATTAAATAGAAAATTTGAATACATTCATTTAAAAAAAAAGAGGGGATTAATTATGCTCTTGCTAAATAACATACTGTACATTATTAATCAATTTACGTTAAATGTATTATTATATGCAATGTCATGTATAACATCATGTGCACCGCTTTGCAGTGTTATTGGTTCACCGTCGAGTTCGGGTTGTGCCGTCAGAACGGCGAGCTGAAAGCGTACGGCGCCGGACTGCTGTCGTCGATCGGTGAACTTCAATACTCGCTGTCCGACAAACCGGAGCTGAAGCCCTTCGATCCCGAGGTGACTGGCGACCAGGAGTATCCGATCACCGAGTATCAGCCTTTGTATTTCGTTGCCGAGAGCTTCGACGACGTCAAGGACAAACTTATGTGAGCAGCGTATAATATGAAAGCGTTTACATTAATATAATTATGACCCCAGACCATTCGCCCCAATTCACTCCACCCAGCAGGCATTTTCGTTTACTTCTCAAGTGTCTTATATTATGTGCCTTTTTGTTTGTTACATTACAGAAAATTTGCAAAGACGATACCGAAACAATTCGGAATACGCTATAACCCGTACACGCAGAACGTACAAGTGTTGGACTCGAAACTTCAACTGCAAGAGCTGGCCAACAACATAAGCAACGAGTTACAGATATTGAGCTACACTCTCAACAAGATGGATTGAACACTCAGATGCATCTCCACTACCTGTGTATAATGTATATTATATTATTATAATAATAGTGTAATTTCCCACTGTTAATATTATTATTATTATTTTTATTATTATTATTATTATTATTATTATTATGTCGACGTAGCTGTTACTGTTGTTGTTGATGTTGTGTCGTACTTATCGTAATTATATTGTTAGATCGTTATTGTCGTTATTATTGTACGTTGTCGTTTATACAATACGCAGCAGTAGGTATCCGACGGAAAATCCGCATTTCCACAGCTCTGATAGTAATATACCGCGTTACGCAATCACCCAACGCGAGTTACAACAGTTAATTGGGTCCAATTTCCACCTGTTATAATATTGCACAACTCAAAACCACCCTTGACTAATTTTGTTTAATGAAACCGAACGAGCGCAATGTTTTCACGACAAAAAACATTCCTTCACGCTACGAAAACCTAGTTTTAGCGAAATATACACACACACATATTACACATATTATACACAATGTTCGATCGTTACTGCGTTTAATTTACTTTTTGTACCTATATGATGGAATAACAATTTATCGAGACGGCGCGTATAATAACGTGTTATTTTTATTTACATTACAAAATATTGTATAACATTAGCATTATTATCCTTTTGTGATGCAAACATGTACATATTATTATTATTACTACCTATATGATAAGATAAATATTAACAACACATGATATAATAATATAATATATTATATTTAGGTAATGTATGTCAATAACACAAAAAAAGTATACATAAATAAAATAATATTTATAAGTAAAAAAAAAATAATAACATTCTTATGGTATATAGTTATTATAGTATTATTTTAACAATGGATAATATATCGTGGCAAACGTAGACGAATAACAAGTTTGATCGCGTCAAGTTAATTATTGATCGCGTTCACTCACTTCACTCGGTCGTGCCAGCTGTACCGCCGTAATCGGCGATCTCCACTTTGCTGAACATTTCTTCCAACGGTACGCCTTCGAGTTTCGGGGATGCCGTTGGCGACGTTTCCTGCACCGCAACTACGGGTGCCTTATAGTACTTGCTCAATCCCTCCGCAGGCACCACGCCGTCGTTCCTCTTTACGAGGTACCCTATGTGGCCACCGTGACCTCCGTGACCGCCTCCACCTCCTCCGCCGCCTCCGCCGCCCCCGTGACCGTCGACGCCGTGGTGATGGGAGTGCGCGTGATGACCCGAGTGCTTGTGGCCGTGCGATGCCTGAGCGTGATGAGCGTGCGTGTGCTGGGACTTGCCATGGTGCTCGTGCCCGTGCCCGAAGCTGCCGTGGTGCCCGTGGGAGTGTTCGGCCTGTCCGTGGTGCTTGTGGTTGTGGTCCGCGTGTCCACCGTGCGCGTGTGAGTGCTTGGCGTGCCCAAGGTGCTTGTGAGTGTGGCCAGCGGAGCCTTGGTGCTTGTGACCGTGCTGAGCGTGCAGCGTGTGCTTGTGACCGTGTTCCGCGTGCGCCACGTGGTTGTGGGCGTGTTCAGCCTGTCCGTGATGGTTGTGCGCGTGTTCCGCCTGTCCGTGGTGTTTGTGCGAGTGTTCAGCGGCACCGATGTGCTTGTGCGAGTGAGCTCCAGAACCCACGTGCTTATGACCGTGCTCGGCCTTGCCGTAATGTGAATGCTTATGCTCGGCCGCACCGTGGTGCTTGTGGTCGTGGCCCGCGTGGCCCGTATGTTTGTGGTCGTGGTGCGCGTGTCCGGCGTGTTTGTGGTCGTGTTCGGCGTGGCCCACGTGCTTGTGGATGTGTTCCACTTTGCCCTCGTGCACGTGCCTGTGTATCACTTCACCCTTGTGAATGTGCTCGCCGCCTCCGTGGCCACCGCCACCACCACCTCCGCCTCCTCCTCCACCATGTCCACCATGTCCGTGGCCGCTGTGGGTATTATGGCCTCCCGAATGGTGATAAGGTGACAGATCTCCACCCGTCGAGAAGTCCCCATGTCCTAGATAACTATTAAAACCGGACGTCCAATCTCATTATTAAACACATTATCTGTATAGTTTAATATTCTTTATCCGGCACTGATATAATCATCCACACGATTTAAAAATAGTTGTCGAGTAAGTATCGAGGTCGTGTTTAGAATATATTATGATTCTATGCTAGTAGGTATTGTATAACGTATTCACTAATTATGAAAAAAAAAATACATTTAAATAATTGCTAAAGAACTAGAGACATTATTATTATAACATTACTTGAAAGTACTACGATTTACTAGTTTAAATGCCACAATTCCTCTGTATTGGCATAATATATGTTTCCTTTGTTTGATTTGTTAAAGAAGCTCACAGGCCCGAAAGGATTGGTTTGTTTCAAATATACGTTAAACGGTGAAGTTTCAGTGAATACTATTTACCACGTGTGTAAAGATATAGGCACCGGTAAAGAATATCTCAGGTAGACACTAAAATAATATTTCAATATATATTATACGACCAATTCACCTTTCTTCGCCAAAAGAACCGCCGAAACAAATTAAAGCTAATAGAGTAAAGATGAACGCCCCGACAAGCTGAAACATTAACAATAGCAAATATTGTTTAAAGATGAATTTATCAATTATTGCTTTTACATATTTTATTAAGTGTAAACCTCACACTGTACATTTTGATTTATTTAACACAAGATAAATGAATCAATAAATAACAATACAATCGCACATAATATTTATATACATAATATATTAAAATTGTATTTGTTGTCAAGGATGCATTGTCACGTTATTAGCTTCGTTTTTAAAATAAAAAAACATCGAACAAACACATTCATATTTTAGATAGACATATTCTAGTTTATTCTGTTTTATTTACATACCTGTTAAGTTCAACTAGAATGGTTTCGAAGATTATTATTTATTAGTTATTATAGTCATTAGTTAGTTCCAAATTATGTTTTATGAACTGTAGTCTATACGTACAAATTATAGTTACTTATTTCAGTTATCGATTCAAAATTATAATTAGCTGTATTTTTAGAGTCATTTTTTTGGCATTTAAATATGAAAACTTTGATCAGGTTAATTTTGATAAATCTAATAATAAAATATTGTTTTTACAAATACGGGCTTAATAACTTCGTAATCTTATGATTTATATGTTTTTAGAAAAGAAGGAAATCAAATATCAATACTTGATATATTAGATACTTGAAAATCTGAAATATTTAGTAGTAACCCATATTGGTGTAATATGGCAAGGCACTGAGACCAATATTTGCTTTACGTATTTACGATTGAATAAAACGTACTTATATTTGCCAAGGTAGGTATTTAAAAAAAAAATATAAAAAGCTTATGATATTCCGAATTTTTAAGGTCTGTAAATTTATTCATTAATATCTCCCAGGCATTTCAGAATATATTTTCAAAAACCTTTTCTTTTATCTTGATACGTTTGTATTGTAAATCACAATATGTGTAACAGTTGATATTTCATTTCATCGATCGTGCTGAATTTAACCAGATTGAAGAATATTACTTGGTAACATAAGTAACATTATAATTATCGTGGTTAATTTAAGTCCAAAAAAAGATTAACTAACTAGTTGTCCCCGAAAACTTTTAAGTCAACTTTTTATTTTATATTATAGGCAACCTGTCTATCGTACCTAGATTGCGTTACAAATTACTAATAAATAATCATTCCTCTAAACATAGCTAAACTACATTTTATTTTTGAGTAGAAATGCTATATTAATCAAAACATAAATATTATTTGTTATTAATTTTTTATGACATAACGCCGAAGAGGGCAAACAGTACAGTAAAAATATAAATAATACATACAATAGGTATAGCAATATAGAATACATAGTTAAACTTGATATTTAAATTAAAAACTGAGATAATTAAGTAAAATTATACTATCTAAAATTTAAAAACCTATTTTAAACTATAGGTATGTCTACGTAATATCCTGTTTTTAACGTGATTAACCTACCATGATGAAAATAAAGTATAGGTAAAGAGTTATACAAGAGTATCAGATGGCATCAATTGAAAATGTTTTTTAAATATCTAAAAATAAAAATAAACTTGGTTGACAAAACTCGCATTATTATTATTATTAATTTATTTTGTATTAGCTTTTAGTGTAAACTATGATAACTCATTATTATTATTGATAGACCTGAGATTTCGGGACATGCATATACCCTTAAAAAGGTAATTTAAAAAAAATGTCGTGATCTGGGACTTAGGTTAGTTTCCGTCTAGGCGATTAAAAAGTAAAAAAATTAACAATAGAGTATGGATATTTTTTATACATATTTGTTGTCATGGTTGAGAATGAGTTTTTGCATATCAAAATAATAATATTACGTATTGATGCTCCTAATAATATATTAAGAGAAGCACGTGTCCGCGCAAAACAGCCCGCGCAGTCGATGTATTTAAGCGGATAAAAAATAAATCGGACACGCATAAAAAAACAAAAAATTAAATAATATAAATGTAGTATTTTACTGACCATCTCCTATGGGTGGACGACACTTGGTTGCGCTTAGAGAAATACCATCAACGAACTGATAACGGTTAGAGAGAAAAAAAAACAATTCAAAACAACGTGGAGCGGCGACGTTTCGTTACGATTATATTCTTACGTGGGTCTGTGGAGACCAACAGATTTTGGGGCTAAAAAAACACTCTCAATACAAACACCGCACGGTAATAATAGACGTGTCGTACGGTAGCGCGTGCTGTTTTATGTAGGCAATTTTGTTCCGGTTCGTTTAAAGGTCTAGAGGGGATGATCTACCACGGACGCCTGTTGCACCTTACGTCATACAACAGTCCGCGGCTGCAGCTGCTGCAGAGGTAGGATTCCATGCGCAGATATAATATAACATAATACTGCGGTACGTTTATCACACTAAGAAATGGTTTTTTTTGTTATTTCTAAATTTTATAATAATTTTTTTTTTTTTAAATGCAGAAGATCACCGTGATTGTGCACCATAGAAGTTTCTTACGTGTAATATTAGAGGATTTATCGGGTCGTTTCGTACAGGATTATCAACTATACCTATAGGAAATTATTATCTTAATACCTATAATCAGTATTATTGTTTGTTACGCTTGCATTGTACTACAAAAACACATCATAGATCGTATGTTTTGGTATTTATAATATGCACATATACATATTCCTGATAATATTATGAAGATAGCTAAATATTCAATATCAACTGACCCCTCACCACCATCAAATTTACTAATACAAGCATTTTAAACGTATACTCTAAATAATTACATAGTACATTTTTATCAAAACTATAGTAAAATATTTATTTAATTTTGATTTCGAATGTAACTCGTTATTGAGTAGGTCACAAAATCGATTGTAAGTCCCAGAGACAGTGCATTACTATCTACTCTAAAGATATTTCATAATTTAACTATTATACTCTTTATAATTTGCTCTAAGAAGTTTCTAAGAAACTTTTTAACGTGACTTTAAATATTTTATCAAATCAAATTACAAAAATAAGAGAAATCGAAAATTTTAAAGTTTATAAATACTTAGTACAAAATATTTTGAAAATTATGTCTAAAAATTGGTTGTACATAAATATATGTAGATAATTTCAAGTTAAAACAGTTATTCTTTTTCAAGTAAAATAAAAAAACAAAATCAATTTGGGCAAAAATAATTCCATTTTCCGTAATGTTAGATTTTGAGCGAAGCGACAAATGTATATTTATTTTACAACGATGTGCGTTTTTATTCTTTATTTGTATGCGTACAAAAAGTAGTAGAAAAATGCTTAGATTTTCCACTGTGGGAGTAGTTTCTAGAAGGAAATTTGATCCAATTGCTATTTTTAAGAGGTAAAAATTAAATATTCCAGTATTTTTAAAACCATTAGAGAAAAAAAAGATGTGACACAAAACCTGCAGTTTTCAACAAAATAAGTTTTGTTTTTGGTTAAATTCAAAAACCATTAACTGATACATGAAATTTTCATCAAAATATGTTTATATTAAAATTTCTTATATTATATAATATTATATTTGAGCTATTTATAGATATTTGAAATCGAAGTCATTTTATTGTAATTTTTTTTTAAAAATTTTTATATGGTATACAATCTGTTCCTTTATTGATAATAAGAATATGTAATATTAGAAAGAATATTTACATGAAAACGTGATGGGAGGAGTCACCCAATTGTTACACTACCCTTACTTGATAAATTGTAATTTAAAAATATTATTTGTAGGGATTTGAAACTTTTGAGGTACCTATACTCTTATGTTTTATATACACAATGACATTTTTCAAATGCAATTTTTTCAGAAGAAATTAATTCTACTTATTGTATTACTGATAGTTCAATAAATTACTTTAATTACAATTATATTATAAAATATATTTAGTATTATAGTCTGACAGACCGTCAACGCTCAGAATAATTTTTCGTACACAATGATTTTTTATCAATGAATCCAAATTAGCATTGCCAATACAGTGACCCACTCGACATCTACCGTACAGCAGAGCGATACCCATTTGCCCACATTTGTTTTATTTGTTTTTCCTGAGTCTTTTGAAATGTACCAGCTAGATATTATTTTCTACCATATACTATTCAAAAAATTAAAGGTTGAACCTTTTTTTACTGAACCTAAAGATGATGTAAGAGTGTTACACAAAAAAAAACATACTTCTTTGTAAAACTAATAAATTTATCTTCACACCCAAAATCCAAAATAAAATACAAAAATCATAAAATAGTTCGACAATGTATTATTGTAATTCGAAAGGTTTTGAAGTTTAATTTTATAATTAAAATAAGTAATAAATAAAGAGATACTTGTTTGTTGTATAGTTTAATTCTTATTAAACACATTTTCATAAAGTTTCATTTAAACATTGACATGTTTTGCTGTAAAATAATTTGATTTATATAATATTATAGTAAATATTTCGTTATTATTATGTAAGAATGCAATTTTAATTTAAAAATCTATTTCGTGATATTCTTTGAGTTTTTAACGTGGTATCTATATTCTATAATTGTATCTTATTCTCGATAACTATAACCTAAATACAATTTTCTTTATTTTATTATTGCAATTGATTAATAATTATCCGTATTACTTTCATGGTTAATTTAACCTGATCCAGCAGGTAGGCAGGTAACTAAGAGAATAAATACGCACGGAGAACCGAATAGGTCATTGAACTACTGTTAGTTTATAATTTTTTAAGTAAAGATATTTCCAAATTATAATTCATTGTAATTTTACATTAAAATCGTAATGCAGTGTTATTAGCATTAAAAAATGCAATACAAATTCTTATCTAAGCAATATAAAACACACTGTCTTGCACGAGTGAAGCCAAACGAGAACCTACCTACACAGTCTCTTTTTATTATAGCTTATGTTTCAATACATTTTTTTGCTTTTTGTTAAGGACATATATTTTGTACAAAAACAGTATTGGCATGCAATTTAATGAATAATAAAATTATAAAAGTGTGATATATGTGAAAATGTATTATTTTGTGTTTTAAATAATAACAACAATACCAAGAAGTGTACTTTTATTATAAAATATTTTTGTTGTATCAATAACACGTAACAATGTAAGATCGAATTAAAAAGTATCGAATATCAAAACATTACGAAATCGTATACCTATATACCTAATACCTATACCTATATCTATTATTATCTACAATATAATGAGTTTTCTTTGGTTAAAAATAAATCATCGAACTTCATAATATTAAGTACTTTTCTAATATTTATTATATATATTATATTATTATATACACTTTAATATTTGTTTTTCTATACTCGTATTATGATTTTCAAATACTTTTGTACTTTTTCGTTACTAAAATAAGTCCTTTTCCTAAGTATGTGATATTCAGTGTAAACATTTCATATTTATCTTGTGCTTTGTTCATGTTGGGATTTAAAGTTGTAGCTTACCTACTTGAAGACTCTTGTAGGTAGGTGCATACGTGACATCACCAGACATCTTATTTTAAAGATCGTCTAAATATTGCACCATTTGTACTTTCTCCACGCTTCCACCAAAAAACTCTATTGACTTGTGTATTTCTTCGACTTGTTACAAAATAGTGATCATATAATTATATTTGCTTCGTTGTATACGAATTATTTCTTTAGAAAAAATACATGCACATACAGATACAATTCGAGAAAAACGACTTCTTTTGCCGTGACAAATTTTTGTTTTATTCTTGTTGTATATTATATCTGTACAATAATAATATCATTATGCCAAATGTAACATATTTTGTATCACTATAGTCTATAGAAATACAATTTTATAATAATATACTCGGCAGTGTACATATATTATACAACATATTTTATTATTGTTGGTCGTAGAAAATTGAAAGAATAATAATTATTGTTATATCAGAGTTTTTTTATTATATTCCAGTACTATTGTCCAGTGTTTAATTACGAAATATCTATGTGTCTGACCTCCGGAGTTAAAACATTTTCTGGAACTCAGGCAAACTATACATCTAATCTTAATTGTTAACGCAAATATTGCACTAGACGTTTTGTCACGCCGTTAAACAAGTGCGCGTATAAATATTATCGATTTCACGCTAGATTATTGATGGCTTACGTTGGTCTACTTGTCAAGGTCATGTTATTGTATTATGATAATTATTGCCTTAAATACAAAACCACAAATAACCATTTTTAACTTCCGAACAGCACGTATTTAAATGTATTGGGTAGTTGATATAAATATATATAATTATAATCTAATCATAAGAACTTAAAACTCTAAAGAACACAGAAATATGCACTAAAAATACAGCGAACATGCCTTAAAAAATTATTTTTACTGATTTGTATTTTGTATTTTGAATTATTAATTTTTTTTTTCTCACAATTATTTCGCTTCCATATCAATGTATTTTTTAAAATCGATTCTTTAATAAAAACAAAATCATATATTAATAGAGATAGTCATCGGTAGCCAAGGAGAGCAAAGCATACTATCATGTAGAAATCACATAATATCTACAAATTGTTGGTAAGATATTGGCATTTTCATTTATACGAAATTATATTTTACAGAATATAGTTAAAGACAGTGCTTGATTTGAAGCAGATGTGGGAGGACGGAGGCCTTCTTATTTGTAGAAAATACTTATGCGTACCCCTTCCAAACAATAAGACATTTTCATATTCAGATACGCACATTTTTTTATACACTTTTGCATCCCCGTTCTAAAATGTCTCCCAGTTCTCAAGCACTGGCTATAGAAAAAGCTATAAATAATGCGTAGATATGCTAAAACAAGCAAACACCTTGGACCCTAAGCCTAATTATAACCATTTCGAGACTATTTGGTTTTCTGCACTCCACCGTCGAACGGTTTCACGCTGCGGTTGCAGTGTCACGTCGTTGTAGGGCACGACTGGATCGAGCGTGTAATAAACGCTGTTGACGGTCGGCGGTGAAGCGATGGCGGAAACCGACGACATCCCATCCAGCGTATCACCACCGCCGATACCCGACGCCACAGAAGGGTAGTTGTGGTCAACCTGGAATACTTGTGCGGTGGTGGCCGGATGTGGTTGTGGGACCGCGGTCGGAATCATGCCATCGAAATCTGCTACGTTTTCCTGTACTTGATAACCACCCGTGCTGTGATGTCCGTAAACGGGGTTACTGAATTTGTGATCGTGTAGCAGCCGTGGAAATCCACGCTCATCGAGTTCACGATAAGCGGCGTTCGGGCCGGGTGAATCCGCATTGGCTGCACTGTGGCCGTATTGACCTATCACGGTGTTACCGAAATTGACAACGTTCCTATGAAGGTTGTCAATATGCTGGTTGGCTCCCAGGGGTTCAGTCGGCCGACCGCGCTGGTTTTGTGCACGGACACCTGGACCAGAGGTGTCTTGCGTGCGCCACGCACCTCCAAAGTTTCCGTGACCAACACCGCCGAAGTGTTCGAACCCGTGAACACCGATGTGCTCAAAATTGTGATGGCCTAGGTGCCCGATCTTTTTAGGATCTCTGACGTTCCCGTGCTTGTGGTCGCTGAAGTATACATGTTGATGATCACCAAAGAGTACTCCTCTGTGGTCCCCAAGGTGCATGGGCTTATGCTCGCTAAAGTGCACGCCGCCGTGATCATGATCACCCGCCACTCGCAACACGTCGCCAAAGTGTCCATGCATCACATCGACCGAGTGGCCGTGCTTGTGACCATCACCTATGTGCTTAACACCTTTACCAGCCTGTTTTCCGAACCATACGTCATTGACGTGATGTCCGGACATGAAGTGACGTGGGCCGTGGACTTGGTGTTGGAGTTGTTGCAAGGCTGCGCCGTTTGCGTGGGAGCCATACTTGTACGAGTTGACGTGGCGGTGCGGTCCGCGGTCGGCTGAATCGCCGTAGTATTTGTGCCGGGCGCCTTCAATGCGGACACCGTGTGTGGTCGTCCCTTTCGAAGGATCTCCGTCACGTAAATGGCCACGATCTTCACCATAACCACGAACGCGTTGGTCAACGGGTGCCCATTCTTGACCACGTTCGCGGTACCTTGAAGCCGTCGCTACCGTCTGGTTTCCAATGTTCCCATTACCATGTGCCCCGTGAGGCACATGTGGCGTTGTGTGCTCCTCTTGGTAGTTGATTTGACCCGCAGACGGCGTCGAGACGGTATCTGCGTGAACGGGTTTTTCGATGATCTTGTAAATCATCTTTGTGTGGTGTATTTTTTTTATGTGCACCGGAACTGTTATTATCACCTTTTCGTTTCTGAAAGATTAATGATATATTATAAACAGTTGTATGTGTATTCTATTATGATTGGTCGATTTTAATGTGTACCTATAGGTAGCTACTTATAATATTGCAATATGTAGCAAATTACAACTATTAACATTTGAAAAATGATAGCCACTGTAACCCGATATGGAACCGAACGAGTTTAAAGGTACTGTTGGCTAAGTCGTAACGCAAATTTACGAAAAACTTAAAATTAGGGCACTGATTCTGTTGGTTATTTGTCATCTTACTATTATCTTCGCTTGATTTCGACTGATGTTTAGTTTCACAGAAAATTAAATATTAACGGTTTAGATAGATTTACATAATGTTCTCTGATTAATTTAAAAAACAGTTAATCGCCTTCGGAGTTTGTAATAATCTGAGTGATGATGTGCTGTGTGTCAAGCACTAAATATACTTTTTTTTTTTCAATTTTACACCAAAATCGGTGTTAACACCGGATAGTAAACTCTATATTAATTTGGTAATATAAAAACTGTTTGAAAAATGTAAAAGAGAGAAAATATTTTTTATTAGCTAATAATATTTGATTATTTTGTAACCAATGAAGTATGAGTATATACAAAAAATAAGATGACCTATAATCGTACGTATCGTGGTTACACGTCACCAATAAGCATTTGCCTGTAATGGTGATGTTGAGTTCACAAAAATAAAATTTTAATCATACAGAATATTTAGAATAGTCCAACGATAATTAAATATTAACGATAAAATAATTTGTATTAATTGTTGTAGACTTTTTGACATGTAAAAAACAAGCGTTGATCACATTTATTTATTATTTTTAAAATTATTGGAAAATGTTAAAAATACATTTTTAATAGATAACATTTTGTGTTCATAGATTAAAAGGTTATAAGTGTAAATACTTCGAACGTTTTATGTTTTTTTACTGTAAAAAAAAATCACAAAATTTAAAGACCAATAGCACCCTTGATACTTCAATTGTATTAAAAATGAATTTTAACTTAACTTTTAAACATTTGTGTCTAATATTTATTAATAACAGTATAAATTGTAATTACATTTTTGACGATGATTATTATATCAATAATAATTATATAATATAGTTACAAAGAAGCAATGGTATTTAAAATGTAAGACACCTACCCATAAATGATTTTGAATTCCACCACACAACTGATGATCAATATCCACCATATCAAAACAAACATTTACAAATAAACAAAATAATACAATCAAAGGACAGCACGTAAATGAAAGACAAAGTTTACTTGGTATATTAATGTTTAAGTTGGACAGACAGTCCTTGTACTGCAGTAATTGCACAAAACACATTTAATAGCATCACTACCGTCCTATAACTGAAACAGTGAAACGTTTATGATGAATATCGTAGGCGTGTAACATCACTGTTATAGATAGCCGTTAACGATGTACCTATAGTGACCAGTCAATATGAGTTTTCTTTGAATTTTTTCCCAGCCGTCCGGAAATGTGAAATTTCTCTTTATTGTGGGCTTTAAAACACAATAAGTCACCGTTTACTGTTATTCAATTGTTTTATTGTTGTGTTTAATATTGTATTTCTGGACCGACTCATCCGTAATTCGCAAGCTGTGACGAAATCGGAATATTTTATGAAAACGTTCTTAAAAAATTAACCGCTTTTTTTACAACACACCTTCTCAGAAATCGAGAATCAAAAAAACACTTCAAGTACCTATAATGATATAATTCTAAATGGTGCTAACGAAATCGAACGTCGCGGTCGTTTGTTTGGTTGTTTTGATATGTTCTCCCGCATGACGTTGCAACTGCTGTACTCTGCATATGCAGTTTAAAGGTAATTTACTATTATTAAACGTCCTCTTATGTTTAGACATGCACAAAATCGATTTGTTGTTGTTATTGAAATGTTTTTGAGGGAGGGGGGAGGGTTAGGGACAAAATAAAAACTACATGTTGTTGTTATTATATGATCTACTAGTACGTTTGAAGATATCGTTTCGGGAAATTATTGACAAGACGTATCCGTCGGGATTATTTGTTTTGCAATATTGTGTCGACGGTTACAGCATCAAATTGGCCATTTTTTACTATTATTTTTTTTTATCTTTAAATAATAACAGTCGGACAGGGTTTAACGTCAAAATTGTATCAGAGGTATGTAACAGTGACAACAATCTCGGCTGCGGTGGCAGTTACGTTCAACGGACCATACCCCATCTAGAGGCCGTTGCGCAATCATCGTCGTCGGGACCCGATTGACGCCTCTCGGGTGAAAGTAAAGGTAATTTGCTTCTCAGTTTTTCTTTTTGGATTTTCCGGTATTCATGTCAAGGTTAGCGACTGGACATTGTAAATACATATAATGTATACATTTATATATACATACATAATATATAGTAGGTACATTAATATACATTATACTCGTATACAATATAATAAAATGTATTAAATAAATAATATTGTAGCCGACACCAAAACGATAGACGTGCCAGACGAAACATTTTTACTATTGTTATGAAATGTGATGCGATAATGTATGTCTTATTCTTTAGAATAGAAATAAAAATATTAAAGTAAAAATATCTTGACGTCCACGACGTCTCGGAAAATATCCAAAGGTAACACCAGTGTATCGCTTTATCAGTGGGGTTTTGTTTCCAAGGATATTCAAGTTGAGATATTTTGTACTTGGATATTGAGTTGAATCGCAATTTCATATATAGCATTAGAGATGCCATCAAAGCATTTTATAAGTATTAAAAACATTGCAGTTTTATTAAGATTCATTTATATATTATTATTATACATATTTGCTTCAAATATACATAGTTCTATTATTTGCATATTTAATTTTAAAGATATAACCTCAGTAAAATTAAAATATTTTACTTCGTTCAAACACCATACAGTTAAGTGGTTTTCTTTTAAGATGGGTATCATCTTTAATTTATATGAGCAAATTATATCCAAATCTATAAGTTTCATGAATTATCAATTTCTTACATAATATTTGGAAAGCATTTAAAACTTTTCGAATTTCATTCAATTTTTGATAAAAATTAACATATCGCAATAAATAAAACATATTATGAAATTAACATATTTAGGTACAGTGAAATAATATTATAAGCATTTATTCATCTTAAATAAAAAAAAAAAAATGGTTTTTGTTATTTTAATTTTATGTTAAGACATAATTAATTGTATTTTTGATAGATATTAGATTTATAAGACAGTGCTGGGGGATATTGTGTGACACAAAGAAGACAATAATAAGAATACACATTTTACATGGGGGAATTTAAATAAAACACTTTATAGTTGATATTGATTTGGTGTTGATTAGAAAATAATTATTACCCCATGGATAAGAGAACTTGTAGATTTAAAGAAGACCACGTTTATCTGTATTATAAGGAGAAAAGTAAGGGCAAATTGATTTGACGGTATTTTTCTATTTTGGTGACTATAATATGTAACAATTAACAAGTATTAATTAATGTGTGTAAATCGTATCACCAATAGGTTTAATCTTTTAAAGAATGATTTATTTTTAATCGGAGTATATGGAAACTTATAATCTTCCATGCGCTCCGGTATATTGTATATGTAAAGATAATCGTGGTCGTATTTGTATAAGTCACTTAAAACGATATTAAAGTATGATGCTTCGAGCGACAAGACTTTAGAACTTCCGCATCGGATTGAAATACTGAAAAGGGATTTTGAATCATTAACTGTTAACTATGTTCTAATTTTTGACTGAAGCTAATTTCAATATTTGTTTTTTAATATAATATCAATGAACTTACAAATTATATTTTTTTAGTTTCTATAATTTCATAAACAGATTTTTAAATATTAAAAATTACTTCTGTTAAAAGTGAGTACTTAAAACATAGTTAATTAGTTAATGACGTAAAATCCGTTTTCAACATGAAAACCTGTTAGCTTGGAGCTATCTTCGCAATCGTACAAGTGCTCTGTAGTTTAAATACTATTTTTTTATTTATACTTTAGAGTCACCCTTAAATATTTTATTTAATTAAAAATTATAACAATTACTACATTCATAAATATAGATTAAACAATAATGAATACACCTAATCATAAATGATAATGTACGAGCCACAAGGATTACGTGTTAGAAGAGTGGTGTAATAATTTCACGTACATAGTTATTATTTACCATACTGAGTTGAATTAAATCCATCAGAAGCAAACTACAGAGCCCCTTTAATATAGGCAACTAAAACTACATTAGTAAACTATATTTAAGTATTTAAATAATAAAATAAACTAATTTAAATCACGCCTATCACCCTCAATCACGTCGTCTCAAACGTGGTCACCCGCAGGACAAGCGAAGCTAAACTGCTAGCACTAAATGCCACTAATACACCTCAATATCACTATATCAGTAGTTATTAATAAACTATATTCTTCTATTTTCTTTTGTTTAACTTACTGTTTACGTTAATATGTAATTAAATAAATATACTGCTAACCAATTATAAGTTTAGATGATAACATTGATAACACAGTCAGTAAAAATGTATATCCTTTATTAGGATATAAAATATAATTCTGCTTTTCGGAATTTTTAAAAATATAATTCGATTTTATTGTTTTTAAATTCTTGAGTTCTTTTTTTACCAATGTCATATGGTGATATACATTTCTGTTTTTCAAATGAGAGCATCATTTTTACTTAAAAATGTTTGGTGGATAATTTTTTTTTGAAAAGTTTTACAGTTATTAAAATATTTATACTAAAGATAAAAGTCCTTAAAAATGGTTTTGCGAAATTATAAAATAGATGTACCAAATATTGAATCTAGTGATTATAATTATTTTACTTTATATATACATTTAAAAAAAAATTATAAATGTCAATGGACATGGATTAATATTAATGTATATAAAGAACTTGAACCTTAGTACACAAAGTTAAATTACTAAAAAACTGCTTATTATTATTTTGATTTTGACATCTATGTTAAAATGTTCAGGTACATTATGAGCTAAAAAAATTACAGTAGAAAAGGAAGGTTCTTATTTGTAAACAAAATGTTAACTTCACAGGACACTTCTTAAGTAGTACAATTTATATCCACGATTGAAAACATGGTCTTTAAGTATCTACCTATATGGCTATATTTAAGAATTCCAAAAATCAGATTTTGAATAGGTAATTGCATAATAGAAGAAAAAAGGATGAGAATGTTTGGTGAATTCTGTATGATAAAATCACAAAAAAAAAAAATGAAAAATGTGTACATTTAATTATAGATTGTAAAAATTATAAGTAAATAAAGAAAAAAATACCAGGTAGGTTAAACATATAATTTAACATTATGCAAATAATACGTATCATAGAATAATAGGTAAAAACAATTTTTTTATGAACTACGATAACAATTATTTAAACAAGTATAATATGTAATAGAATTTACATAATGTGATCTATAATTCATTAAATTATGTTTTGTAACAAAAGCATAATAAATGTATTATTGTTATGCAATAAACCCATGACAATAAACATTTTTTCAGTAATCTGGTAAGCCATCATTACTATAATTACTACAAGGGTATTCAACAAAATGAAGTGGATATTAAAACTAATTTAATTTAAAGTAAACAGTATCATTTAGTAGCTGCATGAAATAAGTTCAACTTTGATTTATTTTTTTCATAAAAAAAAAATATATTTAACTTATAAAAATGAAATGTGTATATTTAATTTATACTTATTTGAGTTCAATGTTTATACTTACGTTGCAAGACGTAGTAAGTTATAATCATCTGTAGTTTTACTAATATCAAATTGATTTAAAATCAATAATCATACTTGATCCACAATAAATTATTGTTAACAGGATCCGGTTACAATATTTCAACCGTTGAAGCGTGCAACTCATTTCACCAGGTTTGAGTTTGAGTTTAAAAACAAATCTGTTGGAACAGTTCACGAATGTTCATACAAACAAATTGCTTCGAAGCAAGTGTTAGTTTTGCATGCTGTAGTACATGAAAAAGTTTTTCAAATGCATGTAAGTAATGACCACAGTCATACGTGTACACTCGTAGAAATTTATAATATTTTTTTACTTATAAGCAGCACGGGCATGGGTTTAACTAGGATTTAATAGTTACAGTAACTTGAGCCATAGAAAACCAGAGTTAAAAATAACCTGTGGGGTGCAAATAGTCTCCCACATGCCCCATCATGTTTATTACTTGCCATAGTTTAGTAGGCACAGCGACTAGGTAATCCAGTAAAATAAAAATTGAAAATGTTGACCCGATTGTCAGTGATGTACATTTTGATTATTTGTATAAATTAATTCGTATAAGGTATATTCAAAAAAATAATATTAATAATATATCATATAACTATTAAATATTTTATGCATTAAATCCATTACATTTATTCAACGATCTGGAGTAAGAATCTCATTAGTAAAATGATAGCAATCGTTTGAAATATTGTATTTAAGATAAATACTCACATATATCTTAAATGTACTGCAAATATTATATTCTGGAATTGTAAATTATTATTAATTGAATAAATTCCAAAGATAATAATTAGGTATTGACTTTTAAATTGTATTGTTAATAGTTAGGTAATGCAATAATACAAAATACAATTATTTCTTATACCTAGTCAATAAGCAATCATTTACTAGTTATACTTCACTTCAACAATAATAATATGTTTATGTTTTTTCTATTTATAGGCATTATTTAGTATTTCTAAATGCAATGAATATTACGTGGATTGTATAAATGTTATATCTTATGAAATATGTGAATTGTGCTCAAAATTACAATTGCTAACCCATTTTATTGTGTTTAAAAATACTAAGGAAACTTTAACTACATGTCCAATAGTGGTAAGTACAATTGAGAAACTGTGAAGTACATTTCTTAACTAATTCTAAACGTAACTCAGTTGGTAGTTTATCTCAAATGGTTTTGTTAATATTTAATGGTTAGATGTGACAAATTATCACGAGCATGTAAGCTATGCTCGCGAGGATTGCCAAAAAAGTATTGTTACCTAATGGGGTTAAAAGGTGGTGGGGGGAGGGTATTGTATGCATTAAGAGTCCATATTTAAATATGTGATTTTATAATAAAATGAAATAATGCTAATACAAACTTTATAGTTGAATACATTTGGCTCACATTTAATCGCCACGCACTAAATACCATAAAAAACTTACCCCAACAATTCAATTAACAAGTGTTCTGATGCTTGGATTTTAGGGTGAATACCGTTACAAGAACATGACGATTGAGGCTGATAAGTTTGGGTCTATATTTAGTATTCCGACTGAAAAATGGTGGGAATATTATTGGAAAATCAATGTTATATTATACGATACACAGAAAGCAGAATTTGCTTCTACAAATCTTGACTTTCACTTTATACAGTATAGAAGCCGAAATCGAAAACACCAAAAAAATATAACATAACATATTATAATATTATGATAATTATTACATTTTCACTAAAGATGTGTTTATTGCATTGATAAATTATACCTTAACCACTAATGAATGTTGTGATTCAATATGCCTGTAAGAAATAATAATAAAAATTGTTGATTTGCATTTTTAATATCAATATATTTTTAGTTAAGTTTAATTTGTGAATTATTTTATAGTGTGTTTTATTTTGTTATAATGTTAAAAGGTAAATGTTTTTATTTCGTTTTTATAAAAACGTTAAACATTGACTCAACTTATTTAGTATCAATTATCAATAGCTACTCCTATTACAATTAAAATTATATGAACTCCAAATGTTACAAATCACGATGTTGGTCCATACTTATGAACACTCTTATTATTTAAACATGTTTGTCTCTAAAATTCTGATACTTTTAATAATTTCACCAATATTACTGTCCATTGTTTTTATAAAAAATTAATTTTCATGCTGTTCAATTGTTTAATATTTTGACACTAAATTGATAGTTTTTATAAAATAAATATTATTTTACGTACTATAAATATTTTACTGAGACAATATATTGGATGAAATCTATAAATCTAAAGACAAGCTCTCTTCTCTATCTTACTTATTATTAGAAGCACATAACAATATTATATCGGAAACCTTTTGATATTAATGCATGCGTGTAATTTATTCTACTATAACTTATTAGTAATACGTTAGGTTGAATTCATTTTTACTAAAAATCTAAAATATCATATTTAGTTATATAGAATAATATAAAAATTATTTTTCATAAATAAACAATGTCGAATAATAATTATTAAATCTAAATACAATTTTAAAGACATCCCCTTCTCTATCTATATGTACGCCACTGTAAATGTTCCAATTAGTGGCACAAATTACAAGTGCTAAAATTGGTGCAAAATACCATTTCCCTCGAATGTAAATATAAATTGAAAGGGCAAATATCAAAAAACAAAATATATATTACGATAAAGTCTTCATATAAAGCTCTATGAGCGCAGTTACTTCAATAGCCAACATACACACAAAATGTAACCTAGAGCATCCAAAACATAAACTTCACAGCCTACAAGACTATCAAACTTATGTGGGTTTCATCCCACATCGGCATTTCAGGTAATGAATTCGCTGATGAATTGGCGATGAAAGTGGCAAGATCTCCGGATACCAAAATAAATTCATACGTAATATACAATGATCGGATGATGCAATCCATGGCCTTACAATCAAACATCATTCAATGTGGCAGAATATATTATGGGAAAAAGAAATCAACAAAAACAATAAACTCAAGCAAATATTAAGTACCATCAACTAAAAAATGGCCCTACTCACTAATCAGGCTTACACGACATGAGGAGACCATAGTCACTGGAGTAGGTCGACATACTGGACTTCCACATTCTCATCTTATGTGTGAAGAATCCGAACCCAGGTGCGAAATGTGCCTCTGTGAACTCACTGTTAAACAGGAGTTCAGTGCTGACTTGGAAAAATTAAAGTAGGGGGACTCTGCTTACTTTAAAAAAAGAAGGTCTAAGGATAGAATAAACATTTGATGAAAATTCCAAGTACCCATGGTTAATAGTTTTCGATTAACAATATAAAGTAAGAAAATCGTTGTATGAGAATTTGTTAATTTACTGATGAATATCCAATGTCAAACTTCAGGTGCTCGTAAAAAATTATGGCACTGTATTCACAAATTTATAATGAGGTTAAAAAATAAACCAAAAACCTATTATTGAATACAACTAAGCATAAACAATGTATAGATAATGTACATAATATATGGGTACAGATTTTACCTTAATGCATTTTTTTAAAAAATTAATTCAGTGTTCATTAGTGAACATGAATCGTATTATTTTATTACAATATCAAAAATCTATATTTTTATTTAATTCAAACGAATTTAACTAATTGATAAAATCAAAAAATGAACAATGATCCCTATTGTAAAAATAATATATAAATAATAAATATAGTTTCTGTGATGTTTATCAATGAGAAGAGATCACCAACAAAAATATAAATTAGTGAAATTAAATAGATATGATATATTAATTATAAACCTACACAATTTGAATAACATAGGTTGTACATTTTGTACATTTCAGTTTTACTACTACTGCTGCAATCAGAGTTTACATAGAAATATTTTATTTTATTTACAAGTAAAATTGTATTTAATTCGTAAAAATGAAATTTATTTGTTTACTCTTCACCTATTTGTATGCAATATTTATTTTGATTCAGCTAATAGTAAGTTATTGCATCATATTAATTTAAAATCTACTAAAAGCTATTGCATTCTTATTTTATTTTAGGATTCGACAACCGTTTTGTCATCGTTGAAACGCGAAGTACGATTTACCGTATTTGAACTTGTCAGCGTAAACAAAACGGTTGCAACGATTCAGAGAGCAACATTTAAACAGTTTTATGATAAACAAATGCTATTTGTACATGCTTTGGTTCACGAAAGTATTTCAGATTTGGAGGCAAGTAAATTGTATAAATATATATACATTTTTTTTTCAAAAAAATAGAAATGAGAAAATGTACAAACGGTATACACAATAATATGTAAAATAGGTAAATAAGTGAACGATCTTTACTAAATGTTACAACGTGACAGAAAGAAGTCTATTGACACTACTTCCAAACATAAACTCAATTTAATTTAAGTTAGTTTGTATATATTTTAGATAATATTAACGAGGTCGCATGACCACATTCCATTCGTTCTAGGTGACGGGGAGGGTTGTTAGTCTTGTGACATAGCCTAGCTTGAATTTGAGATGGTTTGAGTGATTCAAGTTTCTTCTATGTAGATTAATGTAATGATAGGATGCAAGTGTTGTTATCGTTGGAATTAGGTGTATGTTAGGTTGTATTGCTGATGTACCAGGGGAATTTATGAGGACTCTTTCGGTTGAAAGGATTTTTTGTTGTAGAATTTATGTCATAGCTGGATGAGGTTATTGCTGTGTCAACAAAAATGATAGTTATAGATTTGCATATTGGTTGCATAACAATTATAGGAATAATTAATAAGTAAGCAGTAAACCACGTATAAAATAAAATGCGAGGTATATGTGAATATATACGGTTTACCTGTATTGGTTCTCAAACAGGAAAGATAGAAGGGTGGTAACCTCTCTAGTACTTCATCATTGAAGAGTAAGTTACTGTAGGTAATGTATGTATTAAATTTAAATTCAATGATCCATCTTTTATTTATTAAATTTTCCCTGACATTAAGTCATCTAAACTTATTGCTACCATAATGGCATATTTTTAACTGTTAGAAAAAAGATAACTATAATAATAATAGTATCATATAAAATGGTACTTCTATGTTTTAATGAATTTACAATTAACAAGATAATTAAATTTAATAAAGGGTCTTGTTGACTCGAGGGGGGGGGTTGAGGGTGTCATATCCACCATTTGGCTTATTTTTGTCATTTATAGGTAAAATATATAAAAAAGCAATGAATGTATGTATCTAATATATAATGTGGTCTGGGAATAGTCAAAAATTTATATCCCCCCTTTCAAAAAATATGAGCACGACATTGTGTTTGACTATCAACATGACAGAGACGGGCAGTAGCTTAAATGGTTTATCTTTTATTATTTAACATTTAACATTTGCTTATTGTACGTAGCATCTTGTATATATCTTAATACTTTTTCCTTTAGTTCATCAGTTATGTTGTATATATATTTTTTTTTTGCGTAATTGTATTAAATGTACAAAGTTGCTTATAGAAGGTTTAAATATTTTATTTTTAATGGAAAAATTGGAATAATTTTAAAACCGAGATTAGGTTTTTTCGATTTTAATTCTATCTAAACTTGTTTATTTATGCACTTGTAGTCAAACTTAATTTTTCCTTTTAATTCAAGGTAACTTTTAGTGTATCTAAATGTAAAGAACATTTCATCGATTGTGTCAATGTTGTATCGTATGAGATTCAGAACGTGTGTTCAAAATTAAAATTACTTACACAATTTAGTGACGATAAAACATCAAACAGCCAGTTTTTATCATGTCCTTTAATGGTAAGTGCCATTTAAAATTATGAACCGTTTAAGTAATATACTGCTAAGTGAACAACATTTCATAATAATTACTAAAATTCAGTTGTTTTAAAGATTAGTTGGTTTTAATTTATTGGAAATATGTAAAGTCTTATTGGAACTCTATTATTTGTAATCATTATTTTTTTCGATACTATAGAATATATTATGTATTATACCACCATCTATCTGAGATTGATGTTCTATGAAGACATTTAATAATAAAAAAAGGTAGGAGTAGACAAGTATTCATTTTGTATAAAAACTACCTACATTTTTTTTAAACAGTACATGGACAACATTTCAGATTATTCTGCAGGGTAATAATGCACATATTGTATTTGATGTATTTGTCTGCAAAATACTTTGTTGTACAAAATGGTATTCTAAAAACTATATCTGGTGAAGCTAGTGTTTTTAAAATAGATTATTGTAAAAGCAATTTTTTTTTTAATACCTAAAATTTTACTATATAATCTTAAATATTCATAATTGTAAGTTACATAATATTTCAATATTTAAAATAAATTATCTATAACATTTGATTTAATAGATACCTACCTATACTATATTTAAATAATCTGTTCATAATTAAAATGATTTTTACTTATCTTTTATTTTTCGTTCGTAGGGTGATTACGACTTCAAAAATATAACACTGGATGCTGATAAATTTGGAACCATCTTTAGTTTTCCAACCGAAAAATGGTGGGAAAATCATTGGAGATTCAAAATTTTACTATATACTGAAGGTAAAAAACAATTCGCTCGAGTGAATTTAAATTTTTACTTTATAGAGTTTCGAAGCCGAAATCATCAACTCAAAATCTAAAATTTATTTCTTAGTTATTTTTTAAAATTAGGTGAGAGTCAACAATTAATAAGTAAAAATGTAATAACAATACTATAAGTTATTTTATTTTTTATAATATACGTTTTGGGTATTATAGTTCATTTTTCTATGCACAACTTGAGATAAAATTTAAATATTTTATTATACCTAATATTTTAGATGGAAAATAAAACGTTATTGCATTCGTATTGTATTTTTTGTATTTGTGAAATTAGTAAAGTTATCTGCAGAGAATAACTCTTTAATAACCATTTTCCCTTTTTTATATTGTAATGAATAATAATATGTTAGTTATAATTATAAATTATAAGCATAATAATTGTTTATAAATTATAAAGTATTTACTTTTCAAATATTTACAACCAGCCTAAAATAATATTAATTGGTATGTGTCGTATGGATTACTTAGTTAATATATTACCTTCATACGATATAAAGTATTGATGTAATATTTGTTATACGTTTCTAATACGTATTAACAAAATTTAACGAATATCATTACATTGTTACAGGATAAATATAGTTCATTATTATATGTTTGAATATGAATATCCAATATTGACAAAATTAGAACTTTAAAAGTATTAAAAAAATGTGACTTTAAGTTACCATTTTTACCTATTTTTACTTTTATGTAAGGTAAAATAAAACTTAGAAGGGAAATTTAAAAACTTTATACATTGTGAACCACAAAATAATTTAGATGAATTTCGTAAAAATGTTATCTTTATACGTTTATAAAAACTAGGTATTTATAAATTTGAAAACATTATTAATTGTAATATATGTACCTACTCAACACTCAACAGCGACTGTATAACAGATGTTTTCCTCAGTTTTATTATTTGTACACTGTTATTGTTCGTTGAATATGAATAGAATTTTTTTTCACACAATGTTATCTTAAAGTTATATCAAAATCGTATATTTTTGATGGACTACAAGGGTATCTAAATAATTATTATAATCAAGCATTTTGTAATGATACAGTATCAAAATGTTCATTAATAAATCATTTTCAGATAAAATTTGTAAACAATTTTTTTTAACCCCTCCACTCCGGGAAAAATAAAATTTCTGGATAAAAATAAAAGCAAGTAAATATACATAGCAAATATAATGTATAAATATCTAGCTTAAATAATTTAACTCAGACATTTCAGTTTTACTATCACAGTTGTAATAGAGTAAACCAAAAGACAATTCATTTTATTTACATGCAAAATTGCATTTAATTCTTAAAGATGAAATGTATTTGTTTACTATTCATCTATTCGTATGCAATTTTTATTTTGATTCTACTAATAGTAAGTTATTTCATACCTATTTATTATTGTTATTAATTTAAAATCGATTAAAAATTATCACATTCATATTTTATACCAGGATTCGTTAACGATATTGTCATCATTGAAACGTGAAATACGTTTTTCCAAGTTTGATGTTGTAAGCCTAAACAAAACAATCGTATCGATCGAAGAAGTCTCATTGAAACAGTTCCACGAAAAACAAATGTTATTTGTTCATCTTATCTTTCATAAAAGTATTACTGAAATAGAGGCAAGTAAATTATAATATTTTAATAGTTACTTTTAAAAATTAAAAGAATACAACAAAGATAGACAAACAATTATTATTTTTAAGTTAGATTTTGGTATTCCCTTCGTGTTACGTTCTATTAATGTATCTGTGAGTCATCAAACTAATTTTTTTTAATTTTAGCCAACTTTTTCTGTGTCCAAGTGTAAGACGCATTTCATTGATTGCATCAATGTGGTTTCTTATGACGTTCGTGATGTGTGTTCAAAAATGCATTTACTTACAGATTTAACTGACTTTAAAACCTTCAACAATCAGCCTCTCTCTTGTCCTGTTTATGTAAGTACTCATTTAAAATTTAAATTAAGTATCTACTTCAAAATATAATTCGTAGCTTACAAATTGTATAACACCAACTTACTTCGATTCAGTTGTTTAAAAGATAAAATGGTTTTAATTTATGCTAAACACCTTATTTAATGACAATTTATTGAGATTATCTTCAAAAACTTGTATTTAAATTTAAATTGTATTTAGTTGGAACTTTTAATTTCTTGACGATCCCTCCATTACTCATCGAAACACATTCTCGTAGTCGGTACATTGGTGTATGAAAAAAATATAAATACAATTAAATACAAATTTAAAATGTTTTTTCTCTGTTATAGTGGGAAAATATTCTTTTTAAAGAAAACTTAATGATTTTTCTCTCAAAAACTTTCAAATTGTTATCGGTATCCATAAGTTCTTATAACTCCATAGAACATGAACATGTTCATGTAGAAAAGAAGTTTTCTTTATTTATAAAAAAACTGTGACTCGTACAATACAACAAACTTAAATATCGCATTATCCGATTATGCAATATAAATGCATTAGAGTTTCATATTGAAAAGTTAAATCATTAATTTGCTTATGAGTTATAAGTATTTTTACGCTGAATGAAATATGTATATTTAATAATTTAAGTATAAAATTATCTTAATATAATTATTTCGTTTGTTGATATTATGGTAAATATTTTGGTTTCAAATAATTTTATTTCATAGAAAACTCATGAAAACTAAAATAACTCAAAAAACATTAAACGAAATAGTGTGCCGAGAGCCACTTAAAATTGAGTACGGAGTTGTAGGAATAAGAAACAAGAAGCCTTACTTTTGAGTGAAGAAATAAAAAAAATTACTTTGTATTTATTAATGAATTTAAGTAGTACATTTCATTAGCCATTACCCCTTACAGATATTACTTATTGTCATCATTGATCCCATAATACCCACTAAATCAAATTTTCTTCCAGACTCTACCGAAAAGTTTATTATTAAAGCAAATTTCCCACTCTAAAATGTAATGATATACACATAAACAAATAAAAATGATTGCAAAATAAATAAATATGCTGTGATCAAAATCCATAAACTAATAATCGAAAAACATTAATTTCATGAATACGTTTTTTACACGGTATAGGTGTCCCATACACCAGGCAGATGAGCAAGGCTGGCGGGATAGGGGGTTTAAAGGGTCGTGCGATCCTTAAGTATGAGATTGTAGGAACAAGAATTTGATATTTTTGGCGTGGCAAGAAAACATTTTCAGGATGTATTTATGCATAAACTGAAGACGTCAATTGCATTAACAACGGCCTCGCACAAATATTACTTAACGCCGGCCCTGCAGATGCGTGATTGCATACGATTTTAAATGAATAATTGTGTATTATAAACATTGGATTATAATATGCTGTGTGATATGGATTTCCTGTTCCGATTAAATGACCATCATAATTCTAAACAATTATTAATTGCATGATATTTTATGTAGAAATAGCTTTCAACATTTAAATTCAGAGATATAGGTACGACCTATATCTAAATCAAATGTTTTTTTTATTCGATTGATTTTTATTAACATTTTGTTATTTTATTATTTTACATATATTTGTAGGGTGATTACGACTTCAAAAATGTATCGATCGAAGCTAACAAGTTTGGAACCATGTTTAGTTTTCCTACTGATAAATGGTGGGAAAATTATTGGAAATTCAAAGTTACGTCTTACACTAAAGGTAAACAAGTATCATTGGTTGATGCGTATGTAGATTTTTATTTTATAGAATTTCGAAGCCGAAATCGTCCACTCAAAAACTAATAATAACAATTTGACATTATTAATAATTAAGTACTGAATAAAAATAGAACTTCCATCAAAATGAATCTAAGTGATAGTTATTTATATACTTCGTACTTAGGTATTACAGTTAAAATTAAAATATGCATACAGTGCAATGTGTACCATATATATATATTTTGTAGTTGCACAACTACAGTGAGTTCCGCTTAATGTGATCAGTGGTTTATAGAATCAACCGTTCATTAGAATCAAAAATGAAAATCCCAAACCAAATTGTATGTTACTAATGTTAAATTGACTTTTTATTCGAATCACTAAGTACCGGATAATTGAATCACTTTTATGAACAATCTTAAGGTTCTTATGGTATTTCAAACTGATTAATTTTTTAAACCTATTTAATTTTTGAACTTATTAGTATGACAGTATATTGTTGTACGTTATTATGTTATTCAATTATCTTTGTGCGTCGTGTACTTGTGTCATTTATTATGTATGTTACATTAAATATGTAATTATAAATAAATATGTAATTGTATAAAAAGATTGAATCATGAAAAAAATGTTGTAAATGTTTTATAGAATCAACCGGTTAATAGAATCAAAATAACCTGCACCAAACTACCAAAGTGATCACATTAAGTGGAACGCACTGTATATCGCATGCAATTTAACTATTTATTAAATTATTTGTCTTAGGTGAAAAATAAAGTATTGTTGTTAATTATAAAGTATTTTTTGTATTTGTGTTAGGGATACTGTTCTCAAATAATAATTATTTAAACCTGTTTAATGTTCACATTAATAAAAAAATAATCTTAATAATCTCTCCCAAGTTATGGTTTAATTATTTGTATAAGTTGTTTTTATTTCCACTATGCAATCAAACAATTCAGACTCTTATCGTGTGTGCACGTGAGTGGCTAAAATAGTGCATTCTATGTATGGTACTAAACATTTGATGTTTGTTAAAAATGTTTTAGATAATAACTAGTGAACAGTATCTAGATAATTTACTTTATACGTATTTTTCTCTTCAGTATTTTTTTTATAAATAAGCCACAAAAATTATGCTATTTGCTTTTATAAATGTTTTATTTTTATAATTTGAAATTTGAATATTTAAAAAGCGGTCTAATCAATAAACTTTTTCTTATAATTCAATAGTATTTTCAAATTGCTCATATAAAAACAGGGAAAGTAGGTACCTAACTGCTCTGCTAAACATTATAACATTATGTATCGAATGCACCTCATTATTAAAAAGTAAGTCACTGTATCTAATGTTTATGTTCAATTTGAATTCAATGATAAGTCATTGCATACGATAAACGATTCTGAGCGATGTCTATATCACTATTCACCAAGTATATTTTATGATATATTTAACTTGCTATAAAAGTAATTAATTTAACGGTTAGTGATATGCGTTAGTTTAAATTAATTTTTGCCAAAAATATTGCATTTGGAAATGTCATTGGTGTGCATAACATAAAATAATATACATTACAAGTTGCTACTTGCTGGTACTGCGGGCCGTGAATAATACTTTTTAATTACAACTAGAAAATAATTGAAACTGTTGTCCTTCATTTAAATATCTAATTTCGTCCAAATTCGAACTTAAAATACCTATAAAAAAACTCTGTTTCTATATTTTTAGATTGTTTAGTAACAATATCAACTGTTTATGTGAAACGTTTTACGTTTTGAATCCTTAATTAGTTTTAAAAGTTGATCATTTTTTATACAAAATAATTTGAAAGTGTTCTGGATAATAAATTTTATCAACATTTTAACTTTGAATGATTAAGAAAACATTGTGATTTTGTGTTGTTAATAAATATTTAAGTCCCTGTAATAATAGAATTCATTGACATTTGTAGAAAAAAAATGTCAACATTTCAATTGTTTATAAAAAGCTTATTAAGAATCAAAATAGTTTATATTATGTATAAAAAATAATAAAATAAATATTTGGAGAAAATTTCATTCACTTATTCATTCGCTTTTGAATTACAACAAAATATCAAAAATCGATAGAGGAGAAATATTTAATTTATGGGTGGATATAAATTTCAAACGCTCATAAAAAAAATCATTGTAAAATCAATACATTCACCACTCCATTCAGAATTAAAAAAAAAATATTTTACTAATATTTGTATGCTTATTTAATTGTTTTCTATTGCATTTGATCTACAGCCCTGATAATAATACATAAAATCAAGCTTGTTATTGTTGTTGTGCCCGTTCTATATTAAAAAATAATTTATACCTACTTACTAACTATTATAAAGCTTTAGCTTTTCCCTGCGTGTGGTAGAAAATAATTTTAATCTGATTTTAAATTATCTATTGAAATCAGACATATAAAAATATTCAGTAATATGCAATATTAAAGGGAGTTACAGACATAAATTTTGTTATTATTATGCTTAGTTTGGATATCACTCCGGACGGCGCTCGTTTCGACTAAAGCCAAAATGTACGTGCTCTACCGCATTTTCCTTAAGTAATAATACATACATTATTGTCTCTGCTAATTTCACCCACTGACTAACTTAAAATAATGGTTATTATAACTAAATAATACTGTATATTACATACGATAAACTTAAGCCGGCTGTACTTTGTATTTTGTTATACTTAATACAATATAATACCTATCCTTCAAGAGGGTACCTAATCAAACAAAGATTTACCTTAAAAGTAAAAATATTATATATGCGATAGTTTTATTGAGCTAAATTGTTTATAAAGGCTATTAAAAAGGAAAATATTCCATTGAAACGTGTCAATATTTTTTATTTTATTGTTATATTAGTATATTTGTACAAAATGTACATACTAGTCCAATGTTTTCGGTGAATAACTAGTGCCATCTGTAGGCATTCAGTTAATCCAGAGTAAATTATTTTATTTCCTAGAGTGTGCTGAATGAATTATATCAATTTTTTCAGTGTAAACAATGTGTTATAATTGTATTATTTTTATTTGTATTTTTTATAATAGTTTACTAAAAAGCAAAATTACATTGATGCGATACAAACTTCAATAATTGATTTGATGACATTAATTATAGATCCATACATAAAATATTATAAATATTCTTGTGAATTAAATGTATTTGATAGATTATAAATGACTTTTGTTTCAAAATACCAATATAATTAGGAAATAGGACAACTATTGGGAGAAAAATATCCGATTATGACATTATTTACTTTAGATATTAGTAATGTTACTTATCCAATTATCTAAGTTGTTAGGTAGGTGTTTTTAAATGTCTAATTATTAAATATATCAATAAAAGTTATGCGGAAGTATAGTATAGGTATACTACAAAAGTATAAAAGCACAAAATGTAAAAGTAAAACACCAGTATATAATAATTTGCAATTTCTATAGAAGTGCATGTTTAATACAATTGTGTAGTTATATTAAGTTACTAATTATAACTTTAAATATATCTATTACTTATTAGATATTTATGCTTTAATGTAAAAATATAATTGCATAGTGTTATTATATTGAAGCTATAATATTTAAATTTTGGACAGATCTAAGCGATAAATCATATTAATAAATTATATCTATGTGTTTTAATTTTTTTTGAATTTTTTGTTCACCAGTACTCAGTAAAATATTTTTATGACCAAAACAAAATATTATTTATAACTGTAATTTTCATTGTGTTTTTGATAATTACTATTTTGAAAGAAATTAAATATATCCTCAGGGGTATGTATATGCGGCTGCTTAAATAACTCACATTATTTTTTTGCAATAGTCTGCCTTAAGTTAGCATAAATGGCGAAAATTTATTACAATTGGGTATATATATTTTCATTTATTTGTGGCTGAAAAAGCAACAAGTTACCTTATTATTAATCATGAAACACGTTTTATAACACCTTAATGCAAATATCCTTAGATATTAATTTAAATATATAACGTTCATAATATATACGGTGTAAAAATATAACGGTTTATTGAATAACAATTATTATAATTAAACAACATTTTTCGTAGCTGTGTCTACAAAATCTTGATCAATTGTTTTAACTGATGATTGTTTGATTTACAAAGATAGGATTTGATATTTTAAGTTCAATTTTCAATTTCAAGTTTTTTCATTTACAGGTCGATTTACTTAGCGATTGTTTTTGATCGGCTGAAAACGTTAAATCGACTTACACTATTACTCGACAGTTTATCGGCTTTATCGAATTGTTCTGTGTTAAAATATAAAACTCAAATCCAACTAAATAACATTAGTTATTACTTATTATATAGTGGTTGTATTGAACTCAGCAATATTTTACTCAATATCTACAGTGTGCATGTATAGGACGTTTGAGAGAAAATTATTAACGCTGCAGTCCTAAAATGTGTTATGACTTTATAGTTTATTAAATGGATGTCAGTGGCTAATCTACGTCATAAACGAAGAAAAAAACTTTTAAACATCCAAATTGTATACCTTATCTAATGAAACAAAATATACTTGGGTTAGAATTTTTGTTAAAAAAAATATATATACCCACATGTTTAAACATGGAATTGATATGTCCCCGAAATCCGTTTAAGACTATAGGATTACTTACTTTAGTGTATTATTGCCTATACACGTTTTTTCGTCACTTACATTTAATTAAAGCGTTTGGTGAATGTTGCCACACCCAGGCTTAATATTTGTTCTATACTAAAAAAAAAACAGCCAGCTTATTAAAAGAGGCCATGTCAACAAAATAATGAAACTGACTTTCATTATTTACAGACTAGTAAAAACACATAAGATTTAGAAAATGACAAAATTGCATCGTTTGAACAAAAACATCAATACTGTGTACATTGAATACACTCATTTGAAACCGAAGCACAGATTTCATTATTAATATAGGATGAAGATGTGTTTTTAAAATATTTATTTTTAAAACACAATATAATTTAGCTTAAAATTTAAGGCTTGAAACCAGTATTGAGTACCAGTCAGCTTTCAACATCTCTAAAGTCCATTACAATACGATATCAAAAAATATTTTTGTTGTGAGTCAGATAAAAATTGTTCATGGAGAGACGTGG